GGTTAGGCTCCAGTATAGTGTACACCCAGTGGGCTGTGTACACAGTGGTGGGTGTTAAACATATCCTGCTGTCTAGTGTCAGTTTTACTGTGTGTGCTGCTGTTGGGACATAGCCAGACTTGCCAGCTTCCTCAAGATCACTTCCCCTTTAAATGGATCACAAAAGGTGATTTCTACTTGCAGGTGTTTGGTGTGCAGCTCAGTGGAGAGCAGGGGGGAACGAAGTGTGAACTATCAGTTCTTACAGCAACAGCTGGAGTCTATCCTCCCTGGGTGAAATTACTGAACCCCTCCTATAGAAAATGTGAAAGAGGAGGTTAGCGAGAGCTGCAGATCTGACAGCTACTAAAGTGTGGAAGTGATTTTATTAAAAAATGAGATGTCAATGAAACGCGAGATCTCCTCTGAATGATTACTGGTGACTGTGATCATTTTCCTAATGGGAAAGGCATCTATTATAATCTAAATGATTGTACAGAATTAAGATCATGATCACCATGAGCTCCTCAGAAATGTCTAATACTGCTACTTGTGGTCATATTGTTGTCAGTATTTTCATAAAATACCTGAAGGGGTTGAACTTTTTGCAAGTCTCCTCAAGGCAAATGATTGCAGATTATAGGGATATGCATGAAGCGTGTGTCAAAAGGTGTCAAGTATTAGACCCAGGATCCCACAGATTCTTTCAAGCTAATAACTATGAAACATGGTGAGAATGAGGTAGATGTTTACTACTAATACTTCTGTCTCTTAATCTTGTTAATAATGACTGATTCTGGACAAACAAAAACTCAAGCCCAGTTTCCTTCATTGGTCTATTGTGGTCTATAGCAAGTAGCTATATAAACTTGTGTGTGGATCAGTGCATGGAGGTGTGAGGGATTTCAGAGGGAAAGCCAGCAGGGGTTTTCGGGCCTCCTGGGTGCTTTGTAGAGGCTATAACAGACAGTGAGGAACATGGGTGTTGACAGGGACCCAAGTGAGTGCTGTAATGCGCTGTACATTTCCATTTGCACTCAGTGTTTTGGAGCTGCTTTTTCGCATGTTGTAGGTAGACGCTTACACATCTATAAAAACAAAACCACTCACTTTTTTCATTGGCACAAATACTTTTTATATTACTGGAGCTTAAGACAGGTCTGTAGAAACGTGTTTGTTAAAATCTTTTCTTGTTAAAATAACTATAAAAGTGCATATTTTATCTAAAATATGTTAAATGGTACATGTATTGCACTATAAGCCGTACAGAAATAATAAAAGATAAATCTATTTAAGAGAGTATACGTGTGTGTGTGTGCGTGTGCATACTGCATGTGTTGTAAATGCTAGGAGAAATAAAGAGAGCTCTTTCAAGTCTATCCCATCTTTTACACCCTGTGTATTTACACTTCAGAGATGAGAGTCCGTCTGAGCCGCCTGACTCATCCTCTGCAGTCTGACCTCAGGATGGGCTGCTGTTGTAAACCATTGTCCAGTCAGTTGAGCTACTGTTAAGTGCTTTCTTCTTCTTTTACTTGGTTAATTGGATTTATTTGCTGAAGTAAATGATCAATTAAAAAAGGACGAATTAAGCTTTTCTCAATAAAACACAATGATAGATGATTTAGCAAACCTAAAAGGGATTAAGATAGTTGTCAAATCAAAATACAACAGGACAGAGATGTTACTGAACTAAATATTGCAAAAATAATTTAATAATAATAATTTTAATACTTAACTAAGATAAACCTAATTCATTCTTCCATAATATGGTATCTATACGGTATCCTACTCGCAGTAGAACAGCATGTTGGATCTATTTATCAAATACCAGCATCTCCTTGAGAGGGAAACAGATTGCGTGCTGGCCTGATACAGACTTCATCAGGTCATCTGAATTGATGATACATGTTGCAAGGCGGCTGAGTTCCCCAAGAAACCTCTGTTGGAGTGCTTGCTGGCAGAGACGGGGGCCTCAGCCAAGTCTGTCTGACTGATCACTACAGATGCTCCTCTTCAAGTATTCCGAGTCAGATCCTTAGTGCTGGGTCTTAAGGGACAAACAATAGCACCTGTTCCTCATAAGATAGCCCATTCATGTATCTTTAATGAAGCCTGGGGGCAGATGGTGTGAAATGACATTATCTAGTACTTAGCAGTGCTAAGACAAAGGAAGAGCAGTGCCAGCACAACAATGCCTCTGTATTTACGAGGAGAAGGGAGGACGCTGCCCAAGTGCCCCGCTCACATCTGCTCCACTTCATTTTCCAACTCCTCAAGATCATCTTGGCAATAGAAATATCCTGGGCACTCAGCCCATACATAGATGAACTTGAGGTTAACGCTTAAGCGAGTGGGGGTTGGGTTTGTAGTTACAGAGGGAGAGTAGTGGCCACACATACGTACACAATTTCTTTCTTTAAAAAAAATGGTCTTATGATATATATATTTTTTACTTTACCAGTCAAATTTTAAAAAAGCACTTATGAAAATGTTAGAATCTGCTCAGCCACTGTGCCAGCTTTTAAATGACAGCTCAACTAACCTCCAATATTTGTTGCCACCTTGAAGCTCCTCAAAATTTGATTTGCCTTTCTCTGACATTAGTTGCCGTAAATTAAACTTTAATGCGTGGAGCTCATTACTGCAAATCACAACCATTCAAACTCAATGCATTTATTTCCCCTTCAACGCACATTCACACTCTGTCTAGCCTCGGTGAATCTTGTATATTCTGCTCCATATTTTAAAATAATAATAGTAATAGAAGCTTATATCCCAGATGAAATGACATCATTTACATTTAATGCTGGAGAAAAATACATCGTAAGTATCTGATGCCTTTTGCTGAGATCTCTCAGTATATAATCTGTATACATGTCTTGTACAATTCAGCTATATTAATGAATGTAGTCTCATTTGTCTTTTCACTTAATTTAAAGCAAATAAATTATTTAATTGGGCAAATGATATAAAATATTTAAATGTTTTTTAACTGTGTAGCAAGATTACTATTGTTTCCTCATGTGAAGCAGCTGTTCTTCTGGTTGTGGCTCAGCTTGTTTTTATGGTATGATTTACAAAAAAAGATGATTACTAATAGCTGGTCCGATGTAAAGGAAGGTTGCATGTCGAGCAGTCTCGCACAGATGCTTTGACTTAGGAGAGTGTTTGGAGCGCTGTGAATTCCAGTGGAAGAGGAAATATGGACAGAGAGCTGTGAATAACTTGGTAACTTTGAAAAACAGACTTTAAAAAAATCATCACTTCTGTAAATAGAGTGTTTTTGTTTTATCCACTTTGCTTAAATATATGACAGTCAATAATTTTATTTAGAAAAAAATTCAGGTAACTTTTAATTTACTGCTGATGCATGTTAGTTCATTCATAAAAATGTATGAACTACCATGCAACACACTTGGAGGGATGTGGACTTGAGGGAGCCCTTTTCTGCCCTGTGACTACCGCACATTCAGCAACAGACTCCATCTGGTTTTACAGTCCAAATCTCAGACAGAGAAAAGCTGTGTTCCCCAGTGTCGCCCCCCGCCTGTCACTGGCCCTACCTCATGTTGTGACATTAATTATTGTGTTTTTCCATATGTTCCATACATGCAAGGCCAAGATCCATCTCTCATCCATTCAGCCTGGAAACTTGGAACACAAATCCCTATAAAGCAATGTTTTATTTAAGGTAATTTGTCGCAGTCTCCTTGGCCATTTATTTTTCTACTGCAATTGCACATTTTACAGAATTACTTTTGGAAGAATTATATACTTTTCTATTCTTCTATAATGCACTTTCTGCACTTGCACTTCTGTAAAAGCTCAGTGGACATAAAATGGCTATATTTATTTAGTTTTCAGTCTAGCTCTGCACCTCTGGACAGATCAATAAAGCAGTTTTGAGTAGGTTTAGCATGCTAGCTGTGAGAGAAATTGGGTGCGACTACTCCGGTAAAGGGTCTACAGGGGGAGCAGCGCGGACTGAAAAAGTGGAGATCATAGTAGACTTCAGCCAGAACATGGGGGGAAAGTCCTTGCTCAGAGCAGGTTGATTTCATGCCCCAATGCAGCGGCAGTAATTGCACCCAGACCTGTTTTATTGCGAGTTGATTTTAAGGAGGGATGAATGGAGAAACATTCTGTAAAGTGTTTATTTTGGGGGATGACCTTTATTAACCCATTTTCCAGGCAGGTTCCCCTGAGGTGGCCTGGCTCAGTGCTAGATTAACCCTCGCAGGCCCATGGTAGCTGGGGCTGCTCCCCATCATAGAGTTTCAGGAAGCGGAGAATGACAGTAAGATTGGACCTTGCAACATGTGTGCAAAACCCCCACACACCACTTTTGAGACATAAGCTACTCTCCCACCCTTGACAAACACATGCAGGGAGTTTGCGTTGATATTCCCAATAGGCAAGTCAGTAACAGACTGTATGGCGAAGGTTAATATGTGAGTGGAACAGACAGTCCTAGGATGACATGAAATACAGCGTGCGGCAAGTACTATTTTCTTTAGGTGTTCATATTCTAAATAAATAATCATCCAAGATTATTGTGACTAGTTCATCTTCCCTTAATGTGAGTGTGTGTGTTTGTAGATGAAAATGCTGATCAATTCTGTCTCTGCACTTGTGTAATACATTTAACAATCCACTTGCTAACATGTTGGCCATTGCTTCTTTCAACACGTACAGTACTTCTCTGCAGAAGTAGTATGGACCTACTCAGCCTCTCTGCCCTCTGTCCTGCATGTTGCTTCCTCTAACTGGTGCTTGAACAATGTGCGTATGCTGGGCCTTTGATGTACCGAGGTGAAATTGTGGTTTGGATTAAGACCTGGCGTGGCTCGGCCATGTATTGTGTGAGCACACGAGGGCCATCATTGCCGCAGAGCCCCCTGTCAACACATGTTAGGTAGAGCTGTGATCTGGCCTCCCCCTGAGTGGGCTCTGTGTTTCTGTGTTCCATGACTATGCTTAGGCCTCTCTCTGATCTCCGCTCCCTATCTGTTCAGCAGGTCCAGGGTCACATGCCTCCGCTCATGATCCCCATTTTTCCACACGACCAACGCACTCTGGCAGCAGCAGCCGCCGCCCAGCAAGGCTTTCTCTTCCCCCCAGGAATGTCTTATAAGCCAGGTATGCTTGCAACTTAAGTCTTCTTTTTGTCTTTCCCATTCCTCTCTGCTTGCTATGTCTTTTCCCTTACACTTTAAATTATTGTGATTATGATTTTTAGTCTTAAAGTTGTGACACTTGATAACAAATCCATAGCAACAAAGAAATGCTTGATTCACACTTGAGGACACTGGCATGCTCCGTTTGAACTTGGGCTTGAGACCAAGGCCTGGGAACATTGTATTCCATGTGGAACAATAGATATGGATAGAGAAGCAGAGGAATGTAAACATGTCTTTATGATGAAAGTATCTTTCAGTAGTGTGCTGGCTATAACTGTTATTCAAGTATTCACAGAGATGATCCTTGCATGAAAAGTCGTCCTTTTGTTATATGCATAAAAAGCAACTATATATAACTACCCCTATTACAGTTTAATAAAATTGTGTCTTGTGAAGACAATTATAAGGTGGATAGTTGGTGGATGATGTAAGGAACAGGTTTTCCTGCATGTATAACTGGTTTCATTGCCTGTATCAGCATGCCTCTTTCTCTTCCTTTGTCTTTTGAATTGCGTAAAAGAAAAGCCTTCCAAAGCCTTCAAAATAAAAAAAACATTTTTTCATAAAACTGTTGCAACATGTTGACTTATGCCCTGCCAAAGCAGTAACCTCATTCACCCTTGAATCCTTGTGAATATTAAAGATGTGCCACACACATACTACTATATTCATGTTAAATATAAACATAAAATAGATCCATGGCCTAAATTTCACATGCAAACAGAATGAGACAGTGTTGTGTTGATGAAAACCTCACTATCAAAAAGAAAAGGATTTATGAATCAGCTAGAAAAAAAAGGAAAGGCTTGTCTGTTGTAAAAACAGTATCAGAACAAGAAAGAGGACTGAAAACGGAAAAAGAAACACTTGGAAGTCAGCAGGTTCGCAGCAGGACATTAAAAGGTGTGGTAGTGCAGTTAATGAATTAACTATAAAACCACAGGATGAAAAAGAAAGTCAGCTATTTTGGAACTATGGAGCCATGACAGCTTAAACAAAGTGCCTGAGGGGGAGTCTTTTACCAGTGTGCTTTCTGCAATAGGTTTGACACGGAAAATGTTTTAGTTCAAATAACAGGAGCTATTATGGAATCATGGTCAGGGGTCGCCATGTGTATGGTTCCTGCATAATTCATGAGTTCATGAAGAAACAGCAAAGGGGGTCTGAAAATGACTCTTGTAGTCAGGAGGAGTATTTCAAAACCTCTATTATTTCTGCCCGTCCAACACAATATACACACTATATCCAGAGAGTACAATGTTATCACCACCACCTGCAGGGTATACAGGATGCTGCCATGTCCTTTCTCCATGAAGTGAGTGGCCAAGCATTCACTTCCAAGACTAGGGCACACTAATCTGATGTTATCATTATGAGACAGCTCCTGGGGACCACTGCTTATGACCCCCAGCCCTGTGGTGCTCACATGGCAACAGAGTCATTCTGGCTCCATAGTGGTAAGTCATCACCCAATCCACTGGCTGTGCTCAATGGCCTGGTGTTGCATGGTAGACAAGCACAGTCTTAGAGACACCAGCTCATCTTTTAAACAAATAGATACAAGTTGGACTTTCATGTCTGTTTACACAGACATGGCAGCATTCAGTCTGATGTCCCCTAATGGACCTACAGAATGACCCCATAGTCTTCTGGTGCTAGTCTTCCTAATAGACATCCTGCTGACACTTGACAGTTCCCTCATGCTATTTTATTTAAATCTTGTATTTTTAACACATTTTAGTTGTCACATTTAAACTGATTCACTGATTTTATGGTATTTGTTATTTAAGTCATTCAAGTTAGACAACACATAGTGTTCTTCTTGATGTACTGTAAAATAAATGCACCAAAGGAAGTCGGATCTACTTCATGAATGAAATCTCAACAACAATAAAACAATGGAATGATACACCAGTATAACTTTCTTTCATGTAAGTCTGTGAGCAGCTTTGGTGATTCAATAAAATTTGAAAGCCAGTGAAAAGAGAAGCTCAACTTTGAGGGTTATATAGTTCATTCATCATCATTTGATCTGGTCTAAGAAAGGCCTACATCTGTCAACCCTCAGCAGATCTATTACTTATATTTCATGGCACCACATGACGGAAATATAGCCTGTTGTGACCATGGCGTCACCTGTACCCCCCCCCCCCCCCCCGCCATTCAGAGTCCAGGCTCTGGGCATGGGACCAGCCATGGCCAGTTAAAAAAAACCAAGCAGTTTTAAACGCAATTCCCTTTCACCAGTGACGCTAACTTGGCACAGCACCCGTTCTTCTAGTGTCTGGTGCCTTGACACAGACTGAACCTTGGAGCCTGAAACCCCCCAGCAGTGGTGGTGTACTCACTTAGCACATGACCCTCCCCAGGTTTCACATGACATCTAAAGACCCAGCCATTTATTATTCCCAAATCCTACGTCACAGACAGCACAGAGAGAGGGAGACAGAGAGAAAGCGATACCAAAAAGGAGGAGGTGTAGAAATAACCACAGTGCACCCCCACACATCCAACCCAGCACTATTTGAAACCACTTCGGGTGTGTGATTTTATTTGCTACTAAATGGGGATTGAATTTCCATGGCCTGTATCACATTGTGCTGTGCTGTACAAGATTGCAAAGTGAGGCGAGCGAGTGAGGGCAAAGTGAAAGAGAAGGTATATACATTTACCTTGTCTGTGGCTTAATGGCTCCATATGTTTGTGAGAAGAAGTGACAGGCAGAAGTGGGGTCTGAGCGAAGGCCAACTACCCCTCCTCCCCACTCCCACTGTGCACCCCACATCCCCTCCTCCAGACACATGGTTCAAACCAACCTCCTGTCTATGAACACTGCACTGCCGCGTCTCACAGGGGCTGTTCTGTCCGTCTCAACACACTAGGTCGAGTGTGTGAAAGCGTCTGGTACTCAGTTATACACCCCCATGGATATCACTCATACAGCAGCCGTTTTTATATCCCTGTCTGACAAACGTGCTGATGCCAGGCCAACAATAGTGAATAGTAATGAATAGCGCTGCTATTTGGAGACCAATTTTTCCCTGCTTGATCACAGTGATATGTGAGATAAGAATTTGTGGGATTTTTTCCCTTGTTATTGTGACTGCACACTTGTTCTAACCAGTTTGCATACAAGTGCTTTTGCTCTGCTGCCAAAGCTATCACTCAGAAACAAACAATGTAGTGTGGAACAATAGCCAGACAAGTCTACAGCTGTATGAACTGCATGAGAGAACATGTTGGGGCTTTTACATAATCGCTAGTTGAAAACCAGGAGATCTTTTAACATTTATTAACTAACACACACATGCACACACACACACGCACATAAACCTTAAAAGAACTCCTAACTTGTTAAACTATGTTGTAGTTATTGTTGACATGGTATTTTCCAGGAGGTGTACTGTGCAGGTGGAGGAAGGAGGGAATGGTGTGAAACGTTCCTAAGTAATCCTGCTCCAGTCAAACCAGCTTAGCCTTTTGTTAATGCAGATGTTTGGGCTTGAAGCCGATGGCTCATTGCAATGTGCCACATTGCTGTGGCAAAGTATTGGAGGGCCCAGGATCTCTGTTGGCACTTGCCTGGTCGCTGTGGGCCGGCTCATTGTCTGAACATGTATCCATTGTTTGTGCCTCTCTCCCTCTCTGACAGGTGATAACTACCCAGTGCAGTTCATTCCATCCACAATGGCAGCTGCAGCAGCGTCAGGACTCAGCCCCCTCCAGCTTCAGGTATGTACAGTGCTATGACAAAGAATGCTAGGGACGCCCGCCAAGCCCAGGGCAGAAAGGATGGCTAAGCAGCTGTACGCTAAGTAATGAGCTGCACACTAAATAATCCTGGAGGCCCGCAGCTCACACACGCTTATCACCTTACATATGTAATTTATCCTGTTTTATAGAGGATTTATCCCCACAAGCTCTGCCAGACAGAGGAGTAAGGAAGATAATAGTTATTAGAGGGAATGAGAATCACTTTGGTTGCCTTAATCGTCTGCCATTGAATTAATCAGAAGACAATTGACTGTGTAAGCAAAGAATATCCTTCCTATTGCTTTTATCTAGTGGAACCACTTTAATATGTCTTTTATCTCTGTGAGGAAAACAAATAAGGTGAAAGAATGGGCAGGCCTTTTAATATGCATGAAGTAAAATCTAATGCATGGTATGTTATACAAAGTGAAGCTGAGTGGTGGTTTTGAGCCTCAGAAAATGTTGGGATAGGCTCCAAGCCCTACAGGCTCCTCCAGGACTTTTCTCACACAGCATTTAAAAAAGCTGCACCCAGGTCAGGGCTTAACCTCAGGCCATACTGTTTAATATAGATAATTATCTGCATCCTATCCTTCCAGTTGTTACTACAATATTATAAATACTACTGTTACCAGGGCTGCTCTCAGCCTGTGCATGGTCCTTTTTTCCTAAATGGTGATAATGATTCCCTTGCTCTTTTTACTGATGTTTAGTTACATAAAAAACATACAAGTAGCAATGGGAAGCTGAATAACAACCATAGCTATTCAGCTGCACTGCTGCTCTTTGCTTCTCTAATTATCAGTTTCCTTTGCAGTTCCGAGTAATTGTACATCTTAAGTCTACTTGAAACTAGAAATCAGGACTGTTCTTTGGAAACAAAAGAAGGAAACAAAGAATTAAAAAGCATCTCTCCTAACATATGGTTAAGTGGCCACTGCTGCTTTGTCAACAACAGTGAAAAGTTATTGAAAGCTGCAACATGTGATGCTCAACAGCAGAAATAAGTATGTCAAGAAGAGCTGAAGACTGAGGGGAAAACTCTTTGCACGCTTGATATATGTGGCATTTGTCCTTCTGAGGCTACCACTGTCAGTGTTAACGAGCCTTGGCAAGTTCTAACAATGCTCGCAGCTGGCTCCGAAGAGCTGTGCGTAAATATGCAGCCACGAGAAAAGCTACCAGAAGCATGTAAGGTGTTAAATGAGTCTGCTCATGTTTGAAAACGTATGTCCGCAAGACTAAGTGAATATGTTTCTGGAGTGTGTATATGTGTCGCTTAGTTTGTGTATCACAGAGATGTCCATTGGAAAGGAGTGGTAGTTCAGACAGGCATGCTGGGTCTATTTATAGTGGTGTATGAGGTCAGATGAGACAGTCATATATCTGAAGGTTGGGGTGAGGAGGGGAGACGGGTCTACAGTGATTAATTCTGATTATGTATCTAACCCTGGGAATGGGCAAAAACAGTGCCTCCAAGACCATGACTTGGCTGACCTTTACAGAACACAGTAAACAAAAAGAGGTGCATTTTCCATTAATTGAAGTCTGTCAGCCTGTCACATATTCCGCCTGCTGGCTGCTATTTACCCTGCATAGAGACTCCCCTTAAAACAGCAAGGCAAGTCAAACATGCCCTTTTCTACATAGCTGGGATCAACAAACCATGTGACTGCAACCACTTCCCCTACAAAGTACTGGGAGTCTGCTATGATTAAAAACATCATATTAAGCCAGACATGGAATTAAGTTAGTAGTCTTCTCCTTTTTAGAGCAATAATAGCACCAGCACGCTCCTTCTTCTTCAAAATTAAACTAATGAAAAGTATACTCCAATGTGTGTGTGTGTGTTGGAGAGAGAGAGGACTCTTGACTACAAAAGAAGCACAAAAACATATCTGGTAATTAGTGTGAAGTACCTGTGGCTTCACTCTTAGTGTCCCTGTAGTAAAAAAAAAATGTAACACATGTCCAGTGTTAAAATGATGCAACTTGTAATTTAAAAGAAGATTTAGAATAAAACATGATTCAAATAAAATAATAAGCTGATTTAAGGCTCCCCTGCAAATATTACTTATTACTTATCGTATTACTGCGGTGATTCTTCATGCATCATCAAGTACGCTAACCCTTCAAACTGTCTTGAGCATTTTTAGTTTCACCTCCAAACCCATTCTTCATCACCTTACACACGCAAACACACACACACACATACATAATCCCCACACACACGGCTGAATAGGCTGCCCCCCAATTAAAATATCTCTTCCTGTCAGCTACATGGCAAGGTATAATTTTCACCAATTTACTCAGTTTAGATTGTGCAATATATGAACCTTAAAAATTATCTTATTGGAAGAATTAATTCCCACAATGCTGCAGAGGTAATGCGATCAGCCATCCAGTCAGAGAGGCTAGCCGCTCCGTCAGTCTTAATGTTGGCCACGTAGCCTCTTCACAATCTCCTCTGTCATAACAGTCTGGGCTCCTCCCCCCATTCCCTGCCCTTTCTCTCTAAGAGAAAACCCCCCAACAAGGTAACAAAGGCTTAGAGCTGATGGATGTAAATGAATCTTCCAGGATGCTTTTGAGTGTTGGGAGACTGTAATTTGCTTGTCAATACAGGGTGGTAGCATCACTCTGGTGGCTGGCAGTCTGCAAGTGGCTGTCACCAGGCATTGCTGTACCACAGGGCAATTTCACTCAATGTTTTCTTGACAGATTGGCTCTCGTCCTCAACTCACTGGAGAGGAGGCGGGTAAACTATCCCAGCGCGACATGCCCCTCTTCATTAGTGCCCACACAGGCCGGGATGAGCCCAGGACCAGCAGGAAACAATGGCTCCATCCCTGCCTGTCCTTCCCTGATTACAACTGACACCTCTCACCTAACAGAGGAAATTGTGCTCAGATTGTACCCCAATCTGTCTGGACACCTACTATATTCAATTGAGTAAAGAGACAAGAAGGGAATTTCCCTAATTCCACAAAAGAATTTTCTGTTTGGGAGCACTTAATTTGCTGTTTGTACACTATACCTTGCATCAGTTGCCAAGTGAAAAACAATTTACTTAAGGCCAACATGAACTTGATATATATCACCAATCCTTTTTACAGAACCAGTAAACAGGAGGACCCTTTGAGAAAGTCCTGTTTTCTATCATTGGAAGCAGACTTTGGGGTTTAAGCTATTTTAAAGAAAGAATTATTGGATAAAACAGAACATCTGGGTTCTCTGTATGCAGTATCACTGTTAGGACTAAATAAATAGAAATCGTCTGCCTTCACTCAGTCAAAGCTCCATTTTCTATCTCTTGCTGGCTCTGTCTCACTCCCTTGCTTTTCCAATTTCCCTTCCACATGTTGAACCATCTTTAAGTGTCTTAGTTTGTGTATTTCTGAATTACTCCCATCCCCCTTTCTCATTCTGTTCATGTGTTGCTCTTGCTCTTTTCCCCCTGAATTGTCCAAGCCCATCACATCCTTATGCCTTACAGTACTAGAAGTCGAGCCGCTTGAGTTAAGACTTAACACCGCAATTATCATCTGGCGCCTTTGCTATGGCATCTCTCTAGGCCCATGATAAAACTGGGCCCAGCCTCAGCTCATGCACTCACTGTAAAGATGAAAAGCAGCCTACATGCTCAGGGACAACCCGGACCAGATCTCAAGCAAGACAGACACATCTGAAGGAGTACTCAAAGGCTTAGACGACTGGAGTGATAAGAAAGTGTTACACAGTCAGGGACAAACAGGAAGAAAGTGGGAGAGCAGCATACCGCACATTATCTTTTGTTTGGATGTAAATGCCTGTGTAGTACAGATGTGAAGGAACGGCTTCCATCATTAACAAGTGAAGCACTTTTGACTTTGAAATAGAGAGAGAGGAGGGGAGAAACAAGAGAACAGACATACTGTAGAGAGCAGCTGTTTCTGTGTTTATGAGCAGAGGAGCTCGGTCTTTGAAGGTAACCCAGTGCAGTGCAGCAATGTTAGCTGTGTGTGGAAGGCTGGCTAATAGGACGGCTAGGTGAGCAGCTGGATAGAGGCAGTGGTGAACAGAGGGACAGATGGACAGATAGAGTGGATAATGCGGTGAGCTGCACTGAATGGGAGGGCTGGCTCTAGGGCCCCTGGGCCTGGAGACACCCCCCCACACACACACACACACACACACACACACTGATAGAGAAGGACTTAAATGTATACTGTAGATATAAGATAGAGAAATAGAGAAAGGCAAGAGGAGGGGTTGGAGCAGAGCAGGTTGGGTGCCAGCAGATGAGACAGATGTTGGGCCATACTGGAAAGCATCGGCACAGTGCACCAGGACGCCTTCCTCCACTCCTGACATCTGGGCCTAGCCTGGGTCAGCCTGCCTGGTCGCCCTGGGCAATGAGCCTGTACAAGCCTTGTGGCAAACGGGGCTGGCGCTGTGCTGCTTTTTAAATGGTGTGGTGCACTGAAGCACAGTTAATGCCCTCATATCCAGCCCAGTGCTCAGCACCCAGGCCAGGCAGAGGTGAATGAGACATTGACAGACATACATACAGAAACACTCACATACATAGAGACAAGAGTGTGACAAAGTGAGTGTGGCAATCATCAGATAATGCTCACCCCATGTAAAATGCAGAGGATGTTTATAGGTATTAGGCAATTTATTTGTCTTTGTTTTTATATTTTTGCAGGCCGTGGTAAATCAGCAATGCACCGTCACTGAAACAAATATCTGCCACTGTATTTTCCAGCACATATTTTCATCTGATCTATAGTATCAGCTCTGTTGTTTTACTAAACAATTAGCGACCACCTGTCTTAACTGCACATCATACTACTGAGATGTATAACATCATCAGCTGCATGTGTAATCTCAGTTTAATGTCACAGGCAGAAAAGTGAACCTCCCCGTTTAACCTCTGCTGCCTCCAGAGGGCTTGTTTTTAATTACCAGAGGCTAACAGGCTGACCTTGGGCGTGCTGCACTCACTTTGAATCCATGCTTGCTGAGATCTGCTCTGCTCTACTGGGAAACACGGAATGATGGGGTCAGATGGAAGAAATTTGATTTTGTATTTCCGTATCTACTCATTTATGTGTGTTGTTTCTATGTTATGAAATAGTACTATTTTTTTAGGAAAAAGGCAAAACCTTTCAAAGCATTTTCTTTCTTTAAAAAAAACAACAACCAGATAATATATTGCCACATTAGTTATGCATGCACACATTTGATAATGGGAAATGACAGGAATTTGCTCCTGCCTTCAAGCTAAGAAAAAATTTTTCTCTTTTGCCTATTTATTTTAAAACCCGCATTGAAATCCCATTAGCTATTATGTTCATTTTGCTATTTTCTACCCTCATACAAACTGTGCCTTAGTGTGCCGCTCTATGGTTTTTCTTGAATAGAAGTATGACGTGTCCTAGAAGGTGTATGTTACCCTGATCAAATAAAGAAAAACAACTAGTGGTAAGAATGTTGAGGGGGGGAAAGGAAGAGAAAAAGGAAACAGGGCTCCACCCTTGCTTTCACCTACTTCAGTACCCCAGAGCTCGTGCACTGACTTTCAGCTTGACCCTAAATACCATAAACCTTTTGCTGCCCCCACCTGGCAAGTAGATATGAAGGCGGGGCTATCAGATGTGAGATCGTCAACTGAGGAAAGCAGGCAGATGTCTTCTGCTCAGACCAGCCTTGGCAGGATGCATCATCCCTTAGCCTCTGAAACCACACTGACCTTTATGCACAATGTCCTGTACTGTTTTGTGAGGTCACTAACTTGAGTATGTGCTGGAGCAGTGTGTGGTGGGTTAACACACCTCTCATCTGTATTTCTCCCTGATTGTATTTATTGTTCTTTGGCTCTTGAAGTGGTTATAAGGGTAACCACTGCTTCTCACCCCATAGTACTGACCTGCTAATCAGTGCTGAAAAGGGGCACCCTGACTGCGTCTAATTTGAGGCAAACTTTAATTGTGCTGCTTTTCCGGACAATAAAGTTCTTCTCACTCAAGGTCAGTGGCATATTCGTCGACAGGCCTGTTAGCAAACATCTGTCCAACAGACTCTCTACCACTTCTCTACTAAGATTTGCATGTAGCCCAGAGTGACAGGCAGCGAATGGAGACTCCCCTCTTCTTTCTTTCTCTCTCTCTAAACCCCCACACACAGACACACCAGTGACATTAACTAAGTCTAGCTCAGATGAGGGGAAAACAGAGTTGGGTCTGCTCCTATGTCCATTCCTGTCGGAGACAAAAGGCTGTTTGTGAGGGAGGTGGGGGCAGTGCTATCATTGTGGGAACATAATCAGTCTGTCATTTCCGCTGCCCATGTGCTGTTGTTATCCCCAGGTCCCCTGGAAGAATGGACCTTTTGTACTGCCACTTATGTGGCAGCGATAAAGTTTCTTACAGGAGCACATATGTGTTTATATCTGGAGATATGTGCATGGACATAAAGTGCTTTGTTTGGCTTTAGTCTGCATTTACACTGCTGAAGGTGAGGTCAGCGGTGCCGGGTCGCTTTTTCCCCTCCACACAAATGCAGTCTGTATGTGGCCAGTTGAACCAGGAAATGAGACAGGGTTTGCTGATTGGCCAGAGGAAGAGAAATTAGATTCTCCCTGACAGCGCCATCTGACTGAATAACACAACAAAACACAAGGTCTGTGGATAGCAAGCCAGAGGGGGTGTTAAGGGATGCTATCTGTCTGATGAAGTGAGGATACATGGACTAACACTCTTTTTAAGACAGTGGCTGTATTTGACAGACCCCTGCCATTTGCAGCAGGAGACAATAGCCAATTTCATCACTTACCTGGTGGCCAATCAATACAGACCTGGGGCGGAATGAAGTCTCAGCAGTGTGGGAGTGCTGTACTCTGTAACAGAAAAATAAGCACAAAACAATCATCAAATCAAATCACTCTGGTATTATATGTTTAAGGTTTTAATTATACAAAAAATAGCCACACAGCTTGATGTCAAGACATTAAACTGTAACTTTATCCAGGATAAAGGATGAATTACTGTGTCAAAAATCTGATCCAACTGACAATTAGCAGTCTGTGGCTCACCAGATTTTTAAAAAATATTTCCAAACCCTCATATCAACGTCTTTAACCACTCTTTCTAGTATATCCCACATAATCAGACTGGTGGTGGAAATGTAAATTGAGCTTTCAGAGTTCAACCCTGTTACAGGCACAACTGTTATTGAGTGCTTCACCAGTCATTTGAACCACCCTCTTGTGTGGTAATGTCACCAACAGTTGGACATCTTACTGATTTAACGCCAAGGCAAATAACGGTGATTACATCAGTGTTCTCTGTGCAGGTTTCTAAGCCTTAATAATGCTTGCGTTTAACATATTCTGTGATGGCAATCCAGCTGAGGTTGGGTTTCTAACATTGTGGAATGGGATTGTCTCACATGGCTGTGTGGAGACAAATCACAGGCCAGCAACTTCAATAGGAAGCTGTGTAGATCTAGAGAAATGAGAGATCTTTGCTAACACACTTGCATCCAGTCGGCAAACTTTTCTCTGTGATGAGTGGAAAATAGGGGCTCCAAGTATTTTGAATGAAAGCCATCTCTGTGTGGTTTTTAAGACTGCTGTCTCTCTCTGGGTTCAGCCTTTGAAATACAGTTAAGACCTTTGATGGAGGTTCTCTGCCAGCCTCATGGAAAGAGAGGAAAGACGTTAAAGGGGGGGGGGGGTGAAGGCAGACACAGAAGCAGAGTTCTAGGGAGAGGAAAAGACAGAATATAAAACTTTGAATGCTTGCTGGATTTGGATGTTAACGCCTTGCGGGTTTCTCCACCTCCCTACAGCAACTGTATGCCGCCCAGCTTGCCAGCATGCAGGTCTCTCCTGGAGCCAAGATGCCTCCACTCCCCCAGCCCCTCAATACTAGCGGGCCCATTTCTCCCTCCTCTCTGAAGAATGACAAGAGTTCCTCCAGCCCCATCACTCAAGTCAAGGTACAACCCTTAACCCCTTCGACCTGTTCACCCACCAGCCCAGGCCTTGAGTGATACTTGACCTAGACCAACCTAGTTGGTGTTGAATAAAATAAAATAGCACCTACACTGTAAGCACTTCAGTGTTCCGGCCGGCCAGTGCTGAGCCCAGCCTCTAACAGGCAATCAGTCTGTGGGGCTTTAACAAGGCCCTCTCTCTCTTAACCAGAACTCTGTGGACATGGTTGCCATGGCTATGGCTTCTCCAAGCCAGTAATTTGTGGAACACATGGTTTCTATTTTTTTGTTCACAATAAAGTTTTTCCTCTTTTTTTGTAACTGAAATGGAATAAAACCATTACAGCAGTGCATAATACAAATGACAAAAGTGAAGGCTGCAACTTCTTTTTTTTGTTTGCCTTGTAAACAAACCAAATGCAGGATGTGCGTTTCGGCTGCTGTATGGCATAACTCCACTAGACCTCCATGTAGAAGAAAGGCCATATACTTCATCCCCAGTCACTAACGTTATAATCGGAAACATACGCCCATTTGGAGTAGTTTAGCTTAATAATATCACAATGGAGAAAGACCATAAATCATGTCTCGAAATGGTAGGAAAGCACTCTGGCTTTTTTCTTTGCACATGCACACACACGCACGCAAAATCCTTCAGGTCTCCTGCCTCCTGGGATTTCCTTTGAAAGATTGCCATCAAACTGACTCAACACTGTCATTTCATCACGTGAATACAATTCTCTATTTACCAGATTAGATGAGTGCCAGTTAGGCCAGTATTAATACAAATCTAATTCTTGTCAAAACATTGCAAATACTGCCAAATATCACAAAATTAAGGACTTTAAATGAAATGAATCATACATAAATGGAAAGCAAACATATACTGGCATCCTCCCATCTGTATCCACAGTCCAATGGAATCAGATTGCCTTTAGTTGTGTTTGTCTGCTTTCAGCTTCACTGCATAACAAACTGTTATTGGCACAGCAATAACAAGGCCTTGGGGCAGTCTATGCTTGAGCCATATGTTTGGACAAGAAGACACTTGGGCTTTGAAAAAAACTGTTAACGACAGCATGAGCTCTAATCTGATTTAAAAGACTATACACAGGGCAATTTATACTGTGAGAAGTGACATTTCTTTTCTGGGATGAGAGTGGTTGAGTTGTTTCTATTCTATAGAATCATTCAGCATTTGTATTTGACTTGAGTTTAGTGTTTTAGCTTACATTTGTTCATGATGGGCATTTTTTTATATGTATGGATTTTACATGCATTTAATTCTGATTGTATTCAAATGTATTTAAATATTATATTTAAAATTTATTTTAATATTACATTTATTATTATTTTAATAATATCTGATAATTTCAACATGATTTTAGCACCTTTCTGTCACCATGGCACTGATTCTCGATGATAACTCATAGAGGTTACTTTATATGCATTTATCCTACTCTTTTGGTTTTTAAAAAATATTATAAGCCAAGGAGAAATAAAATACCTGGACTGTGCCTCCCATTGCTTATCTGCAGGTACCCACAGAAAAAACATATTTGGTCCCAGTAGACAAGCTGCTGAGGGTAGCACCTTGGATAATAGTGCTCTTCATCTCACATCAGTAACAATTCTAAAGGCTGCAACCAGCCCAGTAAACACAGCACCAAACACATGCGTCCTCCTCTGACCTCATCTCAGAACTACACAATTTAGGGTTTTTTAAAAATCACATCATATTTTTTTAGGAATAGGCATATCAAAGCATATGATAAAACCAAGTATGCACAAATGAGGAATGAAATTAGAAAACAAGTTAATGAAGTAGATAATGTAAGTCGACATCTGATGAATGGAACAGCTGTCTTTGATCATTGGCACCGCCGTTATCTGGTCATTATTTATTCTTCGAACCAGAGCGCAGACACAGAGAGCAGGGAGGAGGAGAGGGAGAACAGATGAAGATGTACAGAGAGAGAGAATCTGCTTTAATTAGTGTGAACAAAGGCGCTGGGCAACTGTGAGGAAGATCGCAGTGGCACAACTCCTAAGGAACGATGGACGAGGAGTAGAGAGGAGAGGAAAAAAAGCTAAGAGAGGGAAGAACTAGGAGGAGGTATGGGTCAAGACAGGGATTCTGTAATTAACCAGGAACAGAGGAAAACTGTGCTGTCTGGGAATCCTGAGCTCCCCCCAAAAATGGAGGCAGGGGGGCCACCTATTCTGCCTTCTCTCATCTCTCATCTCTCTCTGCTGCCATAGGAGGAGGGAACACAGCCGCTCAACCTGTCTGCTCGGCCAAAGACGACAGAACTGGTCAAGTCCCCCACATCACCGACACAAAATATGTTCCACGGCAGCAAAAGCAGCCCCAACAGTCTCCTTAGCAAGGGTGGTATCCCCAGCCCACTGGAGGAGGCCTGGGCCGTGGCTCATCTCTGGGTAAGACCTCAGAGTGTCTCCACTTCACAAACAACATCCCACACAGATGCACAGATTTACACTGTTCAAACACTCATTTATAGTATGCACTCACATCCAGGGAGACCACAAGGTTTTGGTACTTTTTTAAAACTTTATGTTCCCCAAATAAATGCCACTGTCAAGATGCTATATGAAGTTCTTTTTTCTGGCAATGTGTGTTCCAGCAGACTAATTTTGCTGTCCAAACTCCACTCTATGTGTGTGTGTGTGTGTGTGTGTGTGTATAGATATTCTGTCCAGCCTAAACTCTACCGCGTTGTTCGGGGACCAGGACACGGTGCTGAAGGCCATCCAGGAGGCTCGGAAAATGAGGGAGCAGATCCAGAGGGAACAGCTGCAACATCACCAGCAGGGCATGGAGGCAAAGCTGTCTGCTCTCACTTCAGTGGGCCTCAACAACTGCAGAGTTGACAAGGTTAGGAATACTATCATATAGTCTGGCTCTGTTTTATCCCTGATTCAGGTCTTCCCCATTGCAAGCTTTTATATAAACAAGCAGTTGACCACAAAGAGTGTTCAGGTCTCCCTGCAAGTAGTGGAGGAAAGAAACTATTAAAGAAAGTAGAACATGATGATTTTGATATAGCAGTAATTCTTAAGGCTAATATTTTCTTTAATCCATGTCCAGGGTGGTCGTATTGATAAGAGCTGGCATAGTTCAGTGTGTGCATGTGTGTGTTTACTCAAATTAGTACGAATATGTTTGTGTGTGCGAGTTTAGAGGGCTCAATGTTGTTGATGTTGGTGTGAGGGCCGTGACAGGCCATGGCGGTGCCCGGTGTGGGTTAAGAAGACTCTGAAGTCTCTGCCCAATTAAAGCAGACTTGCAGCCCTCTCCGTCCCCTGACATAGGATGGGGCTGCTTTGTACCAGGAGCACACACTCCCAGGGATTCCCTTTAAAAATATCTTCAATCGATGAGTCAATCAAGGAGAGAAAAAAGCTGTCCTCCTCTCTTCAGTTTGATGCCATGTTGCCAGTTGGCTGTGAGGAGCAGGCAGGAACTGGGAGCGATACTCATTAATATTTCAGCACCTGACACTTTCAACCAACAGCCTCAACTAGGTCAATGTATATGTAAAAAAAGTCAATGAATATCTATTTTGATTTCCCTCTAATTTGGTGTTTGGAAGAGATTACTGTCAATGCAGGTGGCAATCAACTATGCTCTCACTGAAGTGAAATAAATAAATTGGTGCAGCCCACAGAGAGGACAGAGCTGGAGCCTTCTATGCATTTAGCCTTTACTAACCCAAACCTTTTATTTATTTTATTTTATTTTTTACAATAATCAAAGCCATTATCATTTTTAATTACTGACAAACAGCTACATCTTAAATGTACCACATCACAATTTCTCCCTAAACAAGCAAACAGGCACATCACCATGTACATAGTTCAGTTGAAAGTCCCCCCCTTCTGTTTTTGCATTTCTTTGTTTAGTTACAACATGGTATGTGAAGCTTTTAGCATGAGTATGCAAGCACCTTTCTTTCAGTCTCAGTCATAGGAGCAGTACAGCTGCCTCCCTACCTTCCAACTAAGGTGAGCCTGTGGTCAACCATGCAGCCGAATGTGTCATGACATGAAAGCAGTAACTGAACAATCCATGTAAAGAGACATTTTCAACAGGCAGCACACACCTACAGCTACATTGTCCATAGCAGGTAGAGCTTAACGGCTTTTTTACTCCCTGCTTAGTCTTTTGTAGGATTTTGTTTTGTTTCCTCTGAATGTTGGACTTGTCTGTTCAACATATGATAAAACAATCATCTCAGAGGAGGAGAATGCTTTGTTTTTGTTAGTTGTTTTCTAAAGGGATCTTCTGCTTGAAATACTCAGTCACTCCTCACCTGTAATCTACCTTTTGTCTATGTTTGCCACCTGAGGAGAGAGAGTGTGTTTTTAAGAACGCAAGAAAGAAACAGAAATGGACAGAGAGAGAAAGAGAGATGGGTAAGTGAATGGAGTAGTGTGAGTAATAAAGGGGCCATGAATTGAAATACTATTTAAAGAGTGCACTAATAGGATTATAGCATAATAAGTAACCAAAAAAATGAAATGCCAAATAAAAATTAGAGCAAGTTCAGGTGGAAAATGTTATAGTTTGCATTGCATTTCAAGCCAATTAAGCCCCACACACATGCCTGTGTGTGTGCATTTCTTGCAAAGACCTGCTAATAGCAATAATTGAAAGCATCACCTCAAGTAATATGTTTCTGTTTTCATTACAACATAATTTATTGTCTCATTGAATGGCACCTTAACCGAGCTCATGCTTGGCTCTCTGGCTTGTGCAAATCATAGTGAGATATTGTCACCTCTTAGTTTCAGTGACACTGCCCCTATTAGGATGGTGTGAAATGAGAGGCATGCTTTATCAAGTCAGCTAAAAGAATTGCCCCATCATCTTCATCCTTCGGCTGCAATAAAGAACAGAAGGTTGTAATTCAGCGGTGAAATGAGAGAGAAGGAGAGAGAGCCTTTTGCTGATACAAGCCAACGAACTAGAAAGGTTTGAATGCCTCAGATAAAAGCTTTCACTTCGGTCAGTTTCAGAATATTAATATTTCAGGAAAGCGCCTCACCTGACATAAATATGGTGTGGTCTTTAATAGCTCCCCTCCCAGTCTGTTGTTTGGAAGTTTATCATAGTGAGAGCTTACATGAAGAAGATTCTGGAAAGGTAACATAAATGGGATTAAGGAGAGGTTAAGATCATCCAGTGTGGCTGTTAGAGGGGGGATATTAAATATTGATTTATCCCACTGTAATGACCGGACAGAGGAGTGGGTCTAAGTGCTGCTTACAGATGGATCAATTCATCTTTTCATACAAAGTGTGTCTGAACAGTACAATGCATCCCTCCCTAACCTTTATCACTATGACTCTAGCTCTCTGTTCTACAATATACAAGCCTTTAACCTCGGGACATGTAAAATATTCATGTTTTACAGGAGCGGATTTTCTTGCTTGTCTTTTTATTTGTCTGTTTTTACTATATCCCATCAGTACAATAAAACCTTTTACAACCCTTCTGCAATTTAACTTTTTGAAATATTTATCTAAAGGTATTATTGTCTGCAGAGGGCAATTACTTTGTTCCATTATTTACCATCTCCCCCTCACCCGGTGGAAGCTTTTACCTAGAATGTGCCAGTATGCCTCTAGTCAAATACTGTACTTCTGAATCCATTTGTAACCATTTGAATTGTTTCCCCCTATTATGCACTGTTGCTATATCTGGACATGCCGCCTGTTTTTCAAGGGCACGGGTGAATAAATATCAAGTATCTGTTTCCGTATGTATTCGCTCAGATGATGCATGCAGAGACTCAACCATTTTGACGTCAAAATTTATGGCCCACTAAAATATATAGCCAGTAGATCTGCTAATTGATATTCACTGGCTCAAAAGGAAAACAATAATGTCCAGATCAATTTAAACAAAGTAAAGTTTTAAAATTAACAATGTAAATGGCAAAATGTACCTTGGTCCTTGTTATCCTTGTGTTCAGACATGCTCAGCATATCATCTCTGAAATCTAACCAATACAAGTTTTACTGTAAATGTAACCAGCCATAACATGAAAAAAGCAAGCACCGAAAGCCAGAGTTTAAATTTAAATAACTCTCCTGTCTATTGCTTCATCTAGCTCCTTAATACCGAACTGGTCAGGTGTAGTCCAATAGCTGCTTTACCGGAACACATAACAGGTGCTGCTTGATCTTGTTGCAGAAATGAATAGTATACTATAAACTGTAAATTGCCTGTACCTTAAATCCTCTTAAACTCTTTTCAGCTGCAGCAAACTGTTGCCTCTGTTACAAAAGGAAAAAAGCATTTTACCATAATAATTCATCTCTCTTATACACATCTATTAGCTGGTCCCTGATTGAGTTGGTGTCCAATGTGACTGGTCAGAAAAATCCAAGTTCAAATGTGAAGTTTATTGGCTGTGGGTAGGGGTGTGACGGGATCTTGTGAGATTAAATTGTGACGTGATATTTACATTTATTAATTTAGCTGACATTTTATCCAAAGCAACTTACAATTGCTATATATGTCAGAGGTCGCACGCCTCTGGAGCAACTAGGGGTTAAGTGTCTTGCTCAGGGCACAACGGTGGATGGGTCACAGTGGGAATTGAACCAGGGTCTCTCACACCAACGGCATGTGTCTTACCCATTGTTCCATCACCACTCTCGTCATGTAAAAAGCTGTCTCACGAGACTCACGTAATTCACATTTTTCACATGCTGACAGTCAAACCATACATTAATTTTCTCACGCAGTGAAATACAAATGTGTAACTGATAAGATAGACTCGTGGAACTCATCAACTCCGCCCAGCTGATGCCACAACGGCGCATGCCCTGATAGTAATCAACCGCACCACTCGCGCTGTGAGTCAAGACAGCTGTAATGAGTGGTAACGCAGCTGGTAGAGTTTTGCAACATAAACATCTAAAAAAGAACAGCCTTGCTCAGTTTGAGACTGTGAGCTGCACTTTATCAGAGCTGTTGAAGTTAACATGTGTGCGGATTTGTGGTAAGATTTCTGCCTGATCACAAGTGTTTGTTACTTTTTGTGTCTCATGCAACATGCAGTCCCCAACTGTGTGGTCAAATGGTCTGAAGGGGATAATGTTACTTCCAGCGGATTAATAACGGAATGCACCGCAAACTAAAGGGCAGGTAGACTTCTCATTAAATGATCACGTTATTCCCTCAATATTAATTCTGAAAGTTTTGAAAATGCAGAAAACATGCAGAGCTATTAGTCCATTAGTTTCTAACTGAATAAAAATGTAATATTTTATCATTGAGGTGAAAAAGTGCCACATTTAAAGAGGTTACTTCCCCAAGCAAAGACAAGAGGAGGGAAGACTAAATCATGACTCAGCAGGGATGATATTACATAAGAAAAGTCGATCTACATGAGAAACATCTGAAAGCAACGACTGAGAGCTACACATCATTATATTCTGTCATAGTTAGGCTATATATATTTGAATTGTCACCTGCCACCTGAATTTTGGGTTTCTCTTTACATAAATAAAAAAATCACCATAAACTGGTGCAGAAAAATTCATCAGAACGCAGGAAATAAATTTTCACATAGAGATTTATTAAAAAGAGTGTTCGATCTCATGAACCCAATCTCGAATTTCGTCTTGTCTTGTGGGTTAAGTGTCTAATCCCACCACTAGCTGTGGGCCATTTGCCTTGCCTTGTAGTTGAACTCTTTGTAACCTTGTAGTTGTATAGTCAGGTATGACAGATTTCTACACTGATGCATCAATAGCTCTTACTCTAGTTCAGACAGACATTGCATATGCGATGCCCTGGAGGTTGCGTGAGATAAAATATATTCTGCTGCTGACATGTCCCTAACTGGAATCAAAAGGTGA